TCATCATCAGAATTTCCTCTGGCTATATTTGCTTCTTCTGATTTCCTACCCTTATTTGACTAATAATCTTTAGCAAAATGGCCAAATTGCTTACAATAATAACATTGAACCTTCTCGTCAAACTTCTCATTTCCCTTCTAATGTTTCTTCTCATCAGAAGTATATGTTTCTGACTTCTAGAATCTCTCACCACGTATATTCTTGGTTTCTGACCAAGAATGCTTCTGGTCCTTCTTGACAAAAGAAGCCTTTAGAGCCTGCTAAACTTTCCTCTTAGAAGTTCTTTCAGTCAGGCGTAACTCTCGCGCCTCTAGACTGCTTTATAGCTCTTTTATTCTCATGGTGTCCAGATCTTTAGAATGTTCAATTGCTACAAAAATCTAATTAAATTGAGGGATAAGCGACCTCAATATCTTCTCAATGATTACTTGTTTAGAAAGAGTTTCTCCACAAGCTTTCATCTCATTAGTGATCAGAATCATTTTGGAGATGTACTCAGAAACCTTCTCATTGTTCTTCATGTTCAGATTCTCATATTGCTTTCGCATGAACTGAAGCTTCACCTTGATGCGTCACCACCATATCATCTGACCAGTGTGTCTCATGCCTCCTTCGTCGTCGTCGAATCAACAATTTTCTCAAACACATTCACATCCACACACTTACGGATGTAGAACAACGCCTTCTGATCTTTCTTCCCATTGTCTCTCTGTTCATTTCTCTCTTCTTCCTTCGCATCTGCTGCAATTGAAACATAGCCATCGGTAACAAGCTCAAGAGCATCATGAGCACCGAATAACACATGTATCTGAATCATCCATCTGTTCCAGTTCTTGCCATCAAGAACAAGAATATTGGTACTCAGATTACCGTTGTTCATCATTAACCTTGTACAACACACTCATATCTCACTAAACACAATGTTTCTCAATCCCTCAGAATCATAAAATGTGATTCTGTTTAGATTTTGTTCAAGATTCAACATGAATTCAAGAATCAAAATCAATCACACAACACCTCATCGTTTCATTCGTGTTTTCCAAGAATCGAAATCAAAGCTCTAGATACCAATTTGTTAGTGTACAAGGTGATGAACAAAATGAATATATTTAAGAGAGCAAAGAGAATGACAACTCTAAAAACTGCAAGAGGAATAATGTTGTTTATTTATAACATTTATAACTAGTTTTTTTATACACACAAAAAATATCATATAAACTATAATAGAATAGACTTAATAACTAAATTATCTAAAATAATTAAAAATATTAAAACATCATTTAGTATCGAAATCATAGAGATTAATCCGAAGATTCATAAAATAATAGAAAAACGAATAAGCTCGAGGAAAGGAAAGGGATCCTGTTAAAAATCGAAAGGAAAAATGGCCAAAACCTTAGATAAGATTTCATTACCCTCAGAGATTAAAAAGACAAAAATTAAAAGTCTGACAAGTTTGTTAAGATATTCAAAAAGCTTCAAATCAACATCACGTTCTCTGAAGCATTTAAGAAATGCCTACCAGTAAATTTCATGAAAGACATAATTTATAAGAAGTTGACTACGAGAGATGAGACTGTGATACTATATAAGAAATGCATTGTTATTATGCAAGGGGATAAAGATCCATATTAAATGCAAAGATCCTGAACTATCTCCATTCATTTCACAATTAAGTGATATAACTTTCGAAAAAGATCTAATTGTTTTGGGAGATAATGTTCGTCAGATGGAACTGAATGTGATCGAAATAATGAAGAACAAAGATGACTAAGAAGCATGTTATCTTGTTGACATACTTAACTATATTATTGGGGACACTAAAAAATAAAGTACCCAAATTTATTTTAGAAAGAGTTAATTAAAGTAAAACCACTATTAACACAAACAAAATATTCCTAAATAACATGAAACCACTATTAACACAAACAAAATATTCCTAAATAACATGAAAACTGAACAAATTAAAAACAGAAAAGAAAAGTAAAAGAAAAAAAAAATAAAGTAATTATATTGAGACACTCCCATGAGATGGATTATGGAGATCAAAAGGTTAAGTTTGGAAAGACGGGTTTCAAAGGCATGTCTGTATAGTGGTTTGGTCAGAAAATCTGCTATTTGCATGAGAGAAAAACAACCGGTTGAATATATCATCGAGATGAAATTAATGAAGTCGTCATCTAATATTTTTTATCCTACAGAAGGGGAAAGGTAAACATCGAGTAAACCTGAGAAGAGTGAAATCACGATCAAACGACCGAGAGATCGGGTAAGGGAGTCTTCTACACAAGGGGAAGATATTATCACACCACACGCATGTAGTACTCTACGGTATCCACTCTTGTCGTTCTATTCAAAGAGTGTGTTTAAATCTACAACTTACGAGCTAAAAAGAAAAATGCAAAGAGGAAATGCATGCAAAAGAAAACACAGGGAAAATAGGAAATATTTACAAAGTTTCGTTCGAATGAGCTTCGTGACCAGATGCCTACGTATCCCTTTTAAGGAATCAGAGCGCTGTAGCTCGACTCACATGTTTCGATTTGTTTTGTATTTTTTATGAACAATATGAATTTCGCTTTCTGCCGCAACTCGACCTTTTGAGACTCACACGTTGGCACAGGAATGAATTAACACTTACTTTTTGAAAGGTTTGAAAGAAAAGAAAAGGTCCGAAGGCGGAAAAGAGTTTGCATTTGTTGATGTTTTTTACCTTGAAAAAGGATTTGAAAATTATTAGATGTTTTATGCATTTGCCAAAAAAAAAAGTTTTAAGGATGTAAAAGAAAAGAAAAACATTTAACGGAGACTATCTAACTCTATCCTTAATATTATCATACAATGATGGTCCTGAGGTTGAGTTTGAAAGGGAAATCTCTACCTATGTTAGCATGCATGAATAACAATCCTAATGTCTAACTTGCATCGAAAACGACACAAGTGAATCCTAAGGGAGCATACAATGGTTCAAAACCTAAGGAAATATGCAATGAGACCGAAGTCGTTATCTCAATTCTAATTGAGTGACATCATCATCGTCAACGAAGGAAAACGATAAAATTCTAAGGGGAGCATGCAAAGATCAAAGTTGTTATCTCAATTCTAATTAAGTGACATCATTGATCGTCAAAAGAAATAAGCCATGAAATCCTACGGGGAACATGAAAAGATCGAAGTCGTCTTCTCAATTGAGTGACATCATTGATTGTCAACAAAGGAAGCAAACACAAGCACAAACACAAGTAGAAAATAAGTGCGGAATGTCTGCTATAGGTCTTTAAACAACGACTTTGAGCACACGCTATTTTTTACTTACTTCTCATGACATCTAGAAAAGCGGTAAAATGCGGTAAAAGGTGCAAGAGATAAAAGGAAGTATGTGAGAATACCAATCGAACACAAGTTCGTCACTTAGCAGACGAAAGCAAAGAAATCCAGAATACTTCGAGCAAGCTTCAACAAGAAAGCAAAATAGTCATAGAATAATCCAATAAAGATCAAGTGCGGGAACAAAGCGCGAGCCAAGAATGCATTGCATCGAATCGGAGTACCTGCACAACATGATGATATACAAGCAAAGCACGATCCATACAAATGCATCGCGGTGAAACACCTTCCAAAACTTGCACAATCTCACAAGAAATGTTAGAAAATAACAAGAAATATCAAATGCAACTCAATAGTCAACATCACTAGTTAAAATGACATGTTATCTTGCATAGAATGAAATGCAACAAGCAACAGAAGCGTAAAAGTGATTCCCGTGAAGAAACATGCTTATATGATAAAAACAAGTCAAAAAATGCACCGAAACCAAGTCAACACATCTATAATATTCCACAAGCGACCAATGAAATAATAACATACATCATACAAGTCTTAAAACTCAAAGTACACATCACACGGAGCCAAATTTCCTTGTATGCAAAAATAACGCGCAAAAAAACATCCAAACAAAATCGGCTCAAAATCACACCGGTAGCTACAAATGTGCCAACGAGATCAAAGGAATCGAAATCGAAAATTAATTCGCACCGCAAGTACCACTTACCGATCTGGGCAGCCATGTGTACATAACACTAAATACACCGAAAATGAAACCAGAATCGAGACGAATCAAACACAATAGTCCACAAACGAATTGCAAAGCATAGCCATGCATCAAAGGAAGCTTAAAACCCAAAGTTCATGCTAAAACTGACTAAAATGCACTATTTCCAAAAATTAGATGCACAAAACACCGTCACGGAATTGAACGAAAATCGCACGATTGCTCCCAAACGTGCCAACGGACTCGAAAAAACACGTGGCTCGAATTAAATCCAAATGGAAGTGCTACTTTCATGCATGGGACAACAACTTGCGTTTTTGTGCAATTTAATCGAAATTTGATTCAAACACAGGGAAAATACATGGCAAGGTGTTTACATGTTCAAGTATCATCATCCAAAACTAATGCACAAGTTAATTACAAACAGAAACATGATGGAAGCCTTGAATCCTTGCAAAAACAACAATTATGTATTAGTGCAATTTTTCTCCCTACGTGAGTTTTGTGTGTTAAAAATGCTAATCACTTAATAATTGATCTTAAATTGCACCAACTCATAGTTTGTGTTAAATTCTCATCATGAGTAACATGCATTTTGCCAAATAAGATTAACACAAGAATCACCACAAAAAGTTCTCTTCAATTCCTTAAGTTCAAGAAACAATAATTATCCATCATGTCCAACCAAATCCTAGCCAATTCCACATTTAGGCATCATTATGTAAACAAAGAATCAATTCTAGCACATGTTCACCTCTTTGGAATTTTATCAAACACCTACACTACATCAATTCTCACCACATGTGTTCAACAATTAATCCAAAAATTCACAATACTATCAACTCATAGAATTATACATTCAACAATTCAATCTAATTCTCATGAAATTCAATTTTCACCATGACATAATCAACTCAATTCTCCACAAAACAACTAAATTACAATGTAATTATATCAAATAGAATTCAAGAACCTTATCGGAAAGTGAAACATATGAGAGAATGTGATAAATTCGTCCGAAAATTGATGGAAGAGGAAGGAGCTGTGGCCAGAAATCGCGAGACCGTGAGAGGGAGTTCCGCATGATATGGTGGCCAGAGTGGAGGATGGAAGTGTCGGAGTGGGTGGCGGCAAATCGGAACTGATGGCGGTGAACCATAGCTGCTCGCGTTAGAGAGTGACATGCGGTGGATTGAGAGAGTTGGAGGGAGATGAACTTTTGAAATGTTGTTGTGTGTTCTTGAGAAAAAAGTGATTTGTTCCTTGAGAGAATAGAGAGAAAATTGAGAGGTGTTTTTTGGGAGTGAGTGAAGTTATGAGAGAAATTATGATTTTTTGAATATAAACACTCTGTAATTGAGCCTTGGATTTGAATTTGGGCTGGACCTTGTTTTGATGGTGATAGCAAATTTAATGCACAATGCAAGTACAAAATGCCATGTCATCATCGGTGCGGAATCTCGACTCGAGCTCAACATCAAAATTGAAACTTGCAAAATTTATGATGCGATACCAAAAAAACAGACTCAATCGAATAAACAACGAGAAAGTTATAAATTTTTGAAGGCACACCGACATAGAGCAAAGTTAACTAATGCATATTTTTTCAGTTAATTTCGCCATTCAATTTTAAAAGAATGCCACAAATGAAAATCCTCCGATCAAAATCCGAACTCTGGGTCCGAAGCAAATTTATAGCTGACATCATTTTTGAAATTATGCCAAAATAACCGTCTCGATACGATAAAAATCGAGGAAGTTACTATTTTACAATATATGAAAACGGTGAATTAAAACTCCGGTTCAACACAGTAAATTTCTCTAGTAATCCGTAATTCCGGGGACTTTCCTCAAAGAATTAGCTCTCGGCCCGAACATACAAATCGAAGATAAAATCAAGACGAATTTTTATCCCAAAGAACGGCTCAAAAAGACGATCCCTGAGAAAGTTATGAATTTTTGAACATCCACCAAATAACGGTTCAGCACAATATTTTCACTATTTTTTCACTATTTAGCTTCAAAGTACTCGTGCATTGGGAGATCTTCCTCAATGAATTGGCTTTTGAGCCGAAAATGAAAGTTGGAGAAAATATCAAGACGATTAAAATGCTCCAAGAGGAACTCAAAGTTGATGTTCCAATCAGAAGTTATCAATTTTTAAGCATCCGAAAACCAGAGAAACGGTAAATCCACTATATACCGCAACTCAAATATTCTGCACTTTAGAAAATCTTCCTCACAAAATTAGCCTTCGACATGAACATGTGAAATGAAGAAGACCACAAGACGGTTCTAACGACTGAAGAATCAATCCCAAACCATTTCCGAACTCACATTGTGAATTTTTGAGCTTGAAATGCACCATACTGAATTTCTGTCTGCACTGTCTCAAATCCACTGAAACACTTTACTTTCTGCACAATTCAGAGAAAACTAAAATGCATAAGAGCTTAACATGATGATGACTTCCTTGGTTTTTGATTGGATAGCTTGGAAAATATGTGAATCACAATAAAATGTGGAAAACCCTTAGTTCTGCTTCACAGTGCTGCTTAACGGAAAAATCAATTTTGCAACTCTTTCTTACAGAGAAATGCCTCGATTTCATGAGTATAAAGCCAATGACACGCATGTACGCATATGGTAACAAAATATAATCCAATAATGTCCAAAATTAAGAGAGTGAATTTTGGGGTACAACAACGAGTGTGAATTCGGAAGAGTTTGATGGTTCCAACTTCAATCTTTTCAAGAGTAACGTGGCAGTCAATCTCGATATGTTTAGATCTCTCATGAAATGATGGATTGTGTGCGAGGTAAATAGCGGAATTATTGTCACAATATACAAATGTTGGTTGATTGAAAGATTTATTCAAATCTTTGAACAGGTTGTGAATCCATTGAATTTTGCAAGCCAAAATTGATAGAGTCTGATATTCTGCCTCTGAGCTGCTTCGTGAAACTGTGGTTTGCTTCTTTGATTTCCAGGAAATGAGAGATAAGCCTAAAAAGACATCTAATGATGGATTTTATTGAAACAAGGCAAGCTGCCTGTTGTACCCCAAAATTTTCCCTCTCTTTTCTCAAGATATTTCTCACAAGATCTTCAATAACTCAAGCCTGCACAAGTATTGACTAGGTTAAACCACCTCATAAACATTGATGCCTCAAATTAGGGTTTTGATTTTTACAAGGATAGTTGAACTTATAATGCCTCAATTAACTTTATTAAATCATTATAAGCCTCCAAGAATACTTATGTCAAGTTTCAAGTCTTGAATCACAATTTTGCTTAGTCAACTGCTCAGATAACTGAAAATCAATTGTATTGGGTAAAAAGTCAACAGTGGTCAACCTACAGTCAAACTTCAATTTTTTTGACCAATATCAACATTTTGAAGTTATACGTGTCAATTTATCAAGTTTGGATCAATATTCCCCAAGAAAAATGTTCAAATCATCAAAAGGGCAAAATGGTCAAAATTAGGGTTTTGACTGTATTTGACTGATCAGGGGTTTTTGACCTATTACAAGATCTAATGGCTTGAAGAATAATCTCAAGGATTAAAATAAAACATGTTTACCTAATTTCATGGCTCAAAACATTTCTCAAGATCAATGGATTGATAATTGAAATTTGATTTAAAGATGAAAAGTCAACTGATACACAAAAAGTCAAACTTTGACTTTTTGATCAAAATTGAGTTTCAAAGATCATAATTCATCAAGAAATTCAAAAATATGAAGCTTGATCATCAATAAATCAATAAAGTCAAAAGTGTTTGAAAAAGTCAAAGTTTTCAAGACTTAGAAAATTTTCTAAGTGTTTTAAGTATTATTTTTTCATGACTTCATGCCAACTTTGCACCAAGATGCAAGATGATTCAAAGAAAACTTCCAATATTAAAGTTGTAGATATTGATGAGATCTACAACTTTTCTTTACTTATCAAATCCTAGAAATGCTTGGATTTTGAGTTATGAATCCATGAAGTCATACACTTTTTCTTAAACACTTTGTGAAAATTTGACCTAGTTTAGGCAGATTTTTGACCTAACTACTTGGCCAATTTTGACCAAGCTCCGCGAGGATTTTGTCAAAATGGAAAACATTAAAGTTATATATAATGTTCCAAGCTTTTCAAAATGTCCAAGAACTCAATGAGATCATTCTTGAGCTAGGAGAATCGAATAGATAAAGTTAGGGTTTCAAACTTGAATTACAAGTCAATTTTGTGATGAACACATGACCAAATCCATAAGACATGCTGCATAATCTTGCTTTGCAGGCTTCTATCTTGCAAATAACTCCTTAATTTAATGTTTAAATAACTGATTGATTAATTGTCCAATTGATTCAAGCATTTCCAAAGCAATTTGCCGTTTTAGGGAGAAAGTCGCCACTTCCATTCTAGTAAAGCAAGCCTTTATGCAAAGTCAACTTCTTGAGCTACCAAATTGTTTCATCTGAGTACAAGCAATGTCAAATCTAGAAGCAACATATCTAGAGCCTCCAACAAACTCGGACCATGCTTGTACTATGCCTTGAAACCATGTTTTCCACTTTTCTTCAAAATCAAGTAACATAGAAAAAACCCTATAATTCAGAAATCCCTTGTGAAAAACATATCTTACCTTTTCCATACAAATATACAAGTCTATTGCAAGAAAAAACACGAGCTCAAGCACCCTAAAAACTTCCCAGCATTCTGCAATGCAGAATTGTCCATAACTTGACATTTTTGAGCTTCAAACCACCAAATCAAAATCTACTCGTGCGTTTCCATTTCTAATCATCCAAGGATATAACATAACTCATATACAAGCCATCCCAACACTTGTTTCTTGACTGTAACTCCTTCTACCATTTTCAAAAATCAAGCTTGCAGTTTGACTTGAGTAGGGAGATTCAGGGACTTTCAAAGCAAAGTAAGGGCTGCAACACACTCAAGGATGTCCAGGCAAGCTAAAAAGATCATTAGGACACGTCAAAGGTTGCTCAAACTCCATACACGATTCTCACTTCAAGGTAAGTTTTTCTCAACTGTGATATCTTGATACAAGCATCTTTTGTACATACATTCTGAAGTAGAAATGCAGATATCATTGCTCTGAAGCTAACCATGTCCATGGTTTTCATTTACATTGACTGTGCATTGAGAATGTTGGGTTTGAACTTTCTGAAAAATTAGGGTTCAATTTGGTACCAACAGAAATTCATTCTTATCTTTGAGTGTTAGCTTAAGTTAGTTACATGGTTGAATTCGTGGTGGAAAAAGGCACAAGTTTCATGTTTACACTTTTGAAAATTGTTGAGAATTGATGAAGTTACAGTTTTCAAAATTGTTGGTGCAAGGAAGAAGATGAAGTTGGCCTCCTGACTTGTTTTCAAATATATATTCATGGTTTTATATTATGAAACAGACGTATAGCCACCTCAGTGGTAAAGCGCGCGCCTGTTAACCTTTGGGACTTGGGTTCGAACCCCAGTGGTACCCTTTTGTTTTTTCATGTTTTCTCATTTCAGATTCAGTGCAAGAAACTCCCTAATGCGCATGATGAACCCTTCATACTCAACCATCTGATCATCATCAAGGAAATACCAACGCACCATAAGGTCATCCTCATGATGCACCCCCAGAAGCCTCCCTCACGGAATTCCCAAACAGGCGCCTGAGCCTCCTTGGTTTGGGCCTTTCCATTTGTTTGTTCTTGCTATGTTTCATCCCCTGATTACTTATCCATACGCAGACCCATTCTTTTTTTTTTATTTCTGATTCACACAAAAAAAATATGACTTGGGCCTGGACTCCCTTTTACTATCTTTTAAACCCCTTTCTACTTTTTAACACCTAGACCATTATTTTCATATTCTTTTTATTTTCTTATCTTTATTTCTTTATTTATTTTATTTAAACTAAAAAAATATACAAAAATATATTTTCTTAAATTAAAATATTTTAAATTAAATACTTCATTTCTTTTTGACTAAATTATATTTTATTAGTTCTTTTACATTATAAAATATTTTCTTCTAAATTAACATTCAAATCATTTTCTAAACTAATTAAAATTAGACTTAGGTTTCTTTTTTTGTTAACTTAGATCTTTTAGGTTTTATTTAAAAATATTAATTAATTTCTTGTGTAAATAAAATTAACTAGTTTACATAGGTTAAATATCTATAAAAGCATTTTCATCAAAAAAACCCTAAAAAAAGACAATTCTCTTCTCCTCTCCAATCTTTAAATTATTTGTACATTCTATTATTGTTATAATTCAATTTGGTTGTAATATT